AAGCAAAAAAAGTAACCCGGTTACAGTTAAAGTTACAAAATTGAAAGAGTAACTTGTTACAGCTACAGTTACTTCACTAAAGTAACGCCGTTACTTTGCCGCTACTTTGCAAAATTATTAGAAAACATTTAAAAGGAACCTTCCTTATGCCTTTAAATTAGTATAGATCTTTTATAAGACATTGTGTTGTTCACGGTAGTGAATCTGGTTATTTTGAGAAACAAAGATTTCCTTAATAATGAGTATTAACATGTTTGGTTCTTCCTCTTTCGATTTATCATTCCTACTTTGGCAAAATTACCAAAAACTTCCAGTTTTTTTTTTTTTTTTAAATTTTAACATAGTTGTCACCGGCTGATGATTCACGAAGAACTTTAAAATAAGCGCTACCACCATAAGGTACACACGAATATAACAGCGCGCGTCTAGATCTCGGGTATATCCAATCAAGTTGGCGAGTTTACAATCGGCCAATCATAATTTTGGATTTCTTTGGTGAAGCAAAATTAGATGGAAGCAATAAAAATCGTGCACATCTGACGTAAACACCTTTCGTTAATTACAATATCCTCATACTCTGTAATCAACTTTTTAGCTGTTTTCTTATACCACTCCAATCCACTCGTCGGTCGAATCGTTCTCAACTGCGTGCGCACAATCTTTGATAAACACAAAGCTCCTCTTGAAAACTTGGAGAGCAACAATGCGGCAACATTCCTCCGTCAAATCCGCTGAACAGGGCAGCGGTGCAAAACAAACACTGATCGAGGTACTACAAACGAGTACGACCACTGCTTGTAGAATTCCAAACGGCCGTTGCAAATATTTCTCCGCTGCTGTGCCACTGCCAGGATCGCAGCAGGCAACATTGTGACACTTCTGTGACATCATCGGGCAGAAATCTGAGAACCACTTTTGAGGACCCATAGCGGAAGTTCGTCTGCTTCTTTGTCAGGAGTTGCAATGACTTTCAGAACGCCGAGCTCCGATTGGAAGGATAGTGGGTAGACCCACTATAATAGACCTCAAGGCAGCTTGCTTTGAGGTCTACCCATTATCCTTCAATCGTCACCGCAACCCCCGCAAAAGAAGCAGACGAAGTTGCGCTCCGCATAGGTTCTTTCCAAAATTTAGTGCTGTCCGGTGGATTAAATAGCAATTTAGACTTTTCTGTACTAATGGTGGTAATGAATATTTGGTGTTAAATCGGGCATTGCTACTTTCACAGGTCCGCAGCAGACGGGAATGTAGTTTTCACTGTGCACTTCTTTCTCGGTCTCTTTCAAATGCAATGGCGGCAAAGATATGACCGGTCAGGACAAAATACCAATCCACGTCAAATAATATATAAAATTCAACACATCCAGGGGCTTTGGAGCTGACTGCGTCGATGGATCGGTTGGTTCCGAGTTAAAAACGAAATTCTTACGCAGCTCTTGTAGTCCGTTTGTGTGTCACATTGTACCAAAATATCGAATATATAGACCTCGTATTAACTTCTTCATGCAACCCTGCCATTGGTACAACGCAGACGTCGTATCTCGGACGGTGATAGCTATCAAAGTGGCCAAACTGAATTTGGAAAAGAGTCCATTGGCAGGGTAGCCTTTAAACAAAAGCGGTACCCGGCCTTTACTTAAAAAAATAAATAAATAAACAAGAATAAAAGACGGTAGTGTTTATAAGAATAACCAGGGAGGTGTCAACCCTGCACGAAAACACGGGCGAAATTTGACCAAAAAAAAAGTTACCCGCCAGCACAAAAAAAAAAAAAAAAAAAAAAAGAAAGAAAAAAAAAAAAAAACGAACGGAAGTTGAGCGCAGCAGGATTTATGTCGGAGTCGTATCGGGACAGGCCTTGAGGGAAAGCAGTGGGTGCGGGACTCCGACTCTGGGAGCGGGCGCTTGGCTACTCTTGGCTGCGAAAGCTGCGAACATTACTGCAGGAACTCCCTACAAGGGAGGCGGGGCACAGTGACCCTTTTAATTAAAAGCAGCAGCAATGCCACAGCGAGAGTGTGCTCTCTGATGATGTAAACGCTTCTGCAGATACGCATTAAACAGCTAGAGTTTATCGTTAGACACCCTCCCGTTTCCCGATGTTCATGCCCAGAGTTGTCGTTGGGAATTCCTGTCCTGGCCTGGCCCTGCTTGAATCTACCCGGAGAACTCATCCTCTGTCGCAACAGTCGATCTGCAGACAGGTTTTGTGTGACCAATCTGACAGGAGCGTCACACGAGGAAGACTCAAACAGTGTCTGCTGGCTGCCTTGTGTATGATCATGATGCATCAGCTGCGTTGCATCGTTGTGGAATGGTTGTATATACCATGCTATGAAATCTGGAGCGACCACTATCCCGCAGAGCACCTAGCTGAGGGAGCCGATCGCAGCAATCTGCGCTCCCGGCGAATGCCGAGGCGGATGATGGCCGATCTGCTTTGAAATTCGTGCAAGAAAAAAAGGCAAGGTTCTCAGAAGCTTAAATAAAAGTAGATATATAATCCCTGGAGAAGGGGAACAAGGGGGTGGGGGCAGAGTATATATATAAATATATATATATATATATATATATATAATCTGGGCAAATCATTCACTTGCGATGAAACTGCAAATCGTTTTTGCGTCATATATTTATTTCTCAAATTTTTTTTTTTTTAGTTCCGAAGGACCAAAATTTTTTTTTTTTTTTTAGTTCCGAAGGACCAAAGGTGCATTTTGGCATTCGGTAGCTTCGCGGATCTATGTACCGTCCGCACAAGAAATAAACGATTTACGTTTTTTTCTTCTTTCTTCTTAAACTACAATAAAACCACCAAATGCTCCTAAAATCGTGTTTTGTTTTCGTAAAAGAAAACATTCAGAACCTCGAACAAGGGACCTCGCCATTTCCAGTGGAGCGCTCTATCAACTGAGATAACCAGGAGTTGGACGTAGGGAGAGCAGGGTTTTATTAACTGCCACCAGTCTAACACCAACAAGGGTGGACGGCCTGCATTTTAAGGTTTTGATGATAATGCAATTGATACAAAGGTGCAAGCGAGATGGACAAGAATGACGAAAATAATCCCTGGAGAAGGGGAACAAGCTTGGGCACATAGGACAAACACAGCTAGGTGCTGGTGCGCGACCGAAAGAATCCGCCTTGTTTGTCCGCATGCCTTCTGTAACGGTACTTTACCTGGTTTGGATGCGGATAACGTATTGTTACATTCAATCATGTAACATGAATTTTATATCAAATGAAAGCTTAAACCAATACATATTCGACAAGAACAATACCTAAACAAGTTGGAAAATAAACGCCTTTAAATGCAAGAGGAAATTCTAGAAGTACGAATTTTAACATATCTTTTTCTCATGAAAATTTCTCAGAATGGTTTAGAATATCCAATTAAAATCAGATGAAAAGACTGCAGCGCGCAGGCGAGCTGGTGGTAGAAAATAATGTCAATTAACGCCTGTGAAAAAAAAAACAAAAAAAAACAGAAAGAATTTTTTTTGCGCTAGTCTCAGATGTTAAAAGATATAAAAAATCAGATGTAATATAAGATTGTACATATAATTATGTCCATCCAAATGACGACATATTTACTCGTAATTTCTATGCCTATTAATGAGTTAATCCTTGGAACCTTATCAGATAAGTTGTTGGCTTCAATTCAACAGACAATTAAATAAAGTGAGGTTCAGAAATCCGAATTAAAATTGTCCTATTAGGATTAAAACGTATAGAAGTACTCCCCTTTAAAAACACATTAATATATATATATATATATATATATATATATATATATATATATATATAAATCTGCCGACAGCAATATAGCCTTTGCAACTCAAGAAGGTCGAGCCAGGGGAAGGAAGGCCGGGGAGGAGGAAGCAGACGGAACGCTGGAGAGGATAGAGGGGGAAACCTCCTCCTCTCTTCAGCGTTCCGTCTGCTTCCTCCTCCCCGACCTCCTTTCCCTCTCCCCGCCTTCTTGAGTTGCAATGGACTAATAGAATGAAATTTAAACTATTCCCAAGTCGCTTCCGAAGCCTTGTAAGGATGGTAAAACTAAAATTCCTCTCCCAATTAAATATACATATATATATAGATTTACACTGTAGGGAAGTGCATACAATTACATAGAATATCTGGTAATACAAGTTCATTAATCATAACTTTACGAACCCTCCTTATTTTGAGCTTTCGTTCAAAATTGTCATGGCAGAATGTTATTCTCGGCTAAACGACATTCTGTTCCTTTTTATTTTATTTTATTTTTTGTCGAGGTAGACGATATGCAGGGAGTTGCACCTGCTAGTTACCCCCCCTGAAGTGTCTGGAATTATTCTTCCAAAAGGTGATGCAGCACACCCGCCAACTGCCTCGACGCAAGAAAAAAAAATGTTTTGTCAAGTACATTTGGTGGACGAAAATTCGAAATAAAGACGCCCCCCCCCCCCCCTCTTTTTTTTTTTTTTTTTTTTAATGCAGCATGTGTAAAATTTTTGGGCGGGGAAAAGGGAGGGGGGGGGGGGGGGGGGAGGGCGGAGGGGTGAAGGGTTCTCAAACATCTACTGGCGCTGACCCCCTCTAGAAACACCTGCATTCACCCATGGGCGTCTGGAATGTCTTCCCCATGGCGGCTAAAAATCAGTAATTTCCCTACACTCACTCACCCCCCCCCCCCCCCCCCCCCCCCCCCCCCCCCCCCCCCCCCCTCATTTCCGTTCCTGGGGAAACCCCTGCTCAAAACGACGCCAAAGTGGCCAAATCGAATCAAACCGACCCTATGTTTCCATTTAAATTTTCAGAAAATTTGATTGGCATTCAACGACCAGAGCTGGCCACGCGTGGTCAAAACTTCGCCTGAAAGGCAGAAATACTAAAAGTAAAAAATAATCCCTGCCCACATGACCCTGCAATTATTTCTTTCCATAGGCAGATGGCGCGAGTTGCCGCCCAATCCGTAGAGTTGTTTTCAAATTTATCTGTCCAATCATTTATAAAGCATTATAACTTCGCCTCTAGCTCTACCCGCTGCTCTACCGCTGCCCGCTGGTGCCGCTGGCTCCGCTGCCTCCGCTGCCTCCGCTGCTCGTCCTCGCTCCGGTGACGATGTAAGCCCGCTCTCCGCGCGTCTTTTCCTCTCTAAAAAGAAAAACAAACAGGCAGAAGTGCTCGAACTTGAACTTCTCAGCGGCTGCCCCACATCCACGAGGCAACGACAGGTCGCCTCCTTTCCATTAGCGTTTCTTCCCTCCGTTCGTCGTCGCCGCCTCGCAGGAACATGGACGGTCTCATGCGGGACAAACTGACCATGATTGCCGCTCTCGGCACCGGAGTCGTGGTCGGCATCAGTGGGATATACCTCTACTACAAGCTCAACCGCAACGTCACGCGAGAACTGAATAGCCTGGCTGGCACCATCGCCGACCTTCGACGCGAGATCGAGCAGCTCAAGACGTCAACGTCGGACGGGCCCCTGTCTCCGCCTTCGTCATCGTCGGTAACTGTTTTTAAGCGTGTCGGCGTCAAAAAGGCTCCAAGACTGTCCAGCGAGCCTCAACTGACCGGACAAACTTCAAGTAGTAGCTTCGAGGACGACAACGACGAGTACTTCGACTTCACGGACGTGTGAGTCTGTGACCAACACACTTATTATTTTTTTATTTGTTTTTTGCACTGTAACGCACGTATGTTTTCCTTGTATGCATGCATGCATTTATTAGCCATTTGCAAGGCATCAAAACCTACGGGCATGATTCTGCAGCCTTTTGTAAGGCTATTATCTTGTTGTCGGTGGCGCAGCAAAACCTATCTTGTCATTGCGCTTGTGATTAGTCACTGCTTGTTTGTTCAAATTAGTTCTCTTAAAAAAAAAATAATGATAAACAGTTAAAAAAAAATCTGCGGGATTTACGACCATGACGACTTCGAGGTGGGATTCTCGAAGCTAGCATTGAAAAAGACAAGGAAATGTGTTGCGGCGGGTGCGGTTTGGAGACAATGGACAGCCGGACCAGGAAAAAAAGTGGCGTCTGGAAATGGTACATTTTTAATGAGGTTTTCCTGCGTGCGTGCCCGCAAAGTCGGCAGAATACGTTTTTCTCCCCCCCCCCCCCCCCCCCCTCCCCCCGTCTCGGCTGTTCAAACTACCTAACATAGAATAAAAAAAAAAGGGTTGTTTGTTTACTAGAGAGGTAAATACGAAGTTAGCACAAACTTGCCGCCTATCGACTGTCATCCTGCTCACTAAAACAAACGTGAAATTACAGCAGAACTTGATGAGCACGCTCGCACATACATCCAATTTTTGTGCATCTCAGCACTTGTTTATCGAGTTGATATTTAATGCATGTTCACACGGGTTATGGATTATGCTGTGCCAGTTTGCTTTGGAAGCCTTGCAAAGATCGAGGTTACAACCTTTGCGGTTGTAGCGCAAGTTGTAACACTGGTCCCTTTTGTTCAATGTATAGAGCAGTCTTGTTTCGGTCTTGGTAAGCAGATACTCTACAAACTGTGTGAGAATGCATAGAGAGAGACAAACCTTTCTGCTGGATCTTTCTGGTCCCCTTGAAATGCCAAAAATTGTAGCCGGCAAACATGCATTACAGAGAGACAGGCTGTATACCGTAATCTCCCGAGGGATGTCCCACCTAAAATTGAAAGCGAATCGGGTGAAAATAATGAGTAAACTAACTTTCAATGCACGATCAAAAAAAAAGTTGAAAAATGCTAGTTTTAGATTTTGTGACCTGCGAAACTTGTATTTGCAGGGAGGGGCAATGAATTAAAGACGGCAGTTTTTTCCAGTCAGCAATGTTCACTTGTCTCCCGCCGTGGCTAAGTAACACCATTTCTGCCGAGATCACCGTTGGCCAGAGCCCTGGAATTATTATACTTCGTTTCACGATAACTTGACGAACTGTGGAGGCATCAGCCCTCCTGACCCAATAAGAGCATCGGAGCCAGGCACGCGACAACACCCCGTGGTCGAGACCACAGAGATCTCGTTACCGCCACAAAAGAAGCGCCGTCTGCGACAAAATGTTGTTCTAGGCTTCGTTTCCTTTTAGTTGTGTTATGGTCAGACTCGTCTGACTACGACATGACTTTGAAGAAAGACTAAGACATGTTACTTTTCAACGATACTTGATACAAAGCAACACATTTCCGAGAACAATACGGTTTTTGAATGATCGTGGCTGTGTAATTGACCGTTTCCACTCAAAACTTATCGCCTTGGCATTAGAACTCGCCGCAGATTCGAGGGTAAATTGAGCGTATGGTTATCTCATGAACTGTTCCCGAAGAGTTCACTACTCTAGCGAACAGCAGTGTTGAGATGGTGGATGTTACGAATCCGAAGTTGGTTTCTTTTGCAGCAGATGACTCTTAGCCTACAGACGACAGTCGGTTCCTTTGGGTCTCACATTTGGCATAGTGACACGAACGCTCCCGTGACTTAGTGTGCGCGCGCCTCGCTTTGATGCTCCTATTGGGTCACGGCCGTAGCCTCCACAGTTAGCCAAGTTATCGTGAAACGGAGTATAGAAGTGGGCAATCTTTCGGTGTTTTTAAAAAAATAGAGAATCATGCCAAAAATAGGGGTGGGTTTTCTTTCGGGGGTGGGGCATCTCAGGAACTTGCGGTACTAGTTGTATTGAAAATGCATTTCCTCTTTTCTTGCATTCGTTACTTCACTTTCTAGCCCTTTTACTCTTTTTCTTAAAGGGATTTTGATTTTCATCGTGGGTTTGCTTGCTAACCTACCATTGTGCATGTGATTAAAGAAGCCTTCATGAAATGGAATTGCTCTCAAGAAGATTAAGGTGCCCTTACTTCAACAAACACTCCTTTCCCTCATAATTTGCTTCAATAACCGGCATTCTCCACAGTCCCCCAATAGAAGCGCTCACAGCCTAGCACATATTTGCGCAACTCTTGGGGTGTCATTCTCAGAATTTTAGTCAGCCTAAAAAAGCCTAGGAATTTCGCCCAAGCATTATGATAGCCGTGGAAATGCAACGCTTCCTTTGACACTTCGGTTTTTAGGAAACATACACAAACATTTTGGTGGAATCTCATTGCTATTTTGATACTGAACTCTGGAACATTATTATTAGGGTTTTATGTCTCCAATACATGCCAATAAACCCCCGAAATTGACCGCAGTGGCGATTTTATCAAGGTCGGGGAAAGCCTAAAAAATAACACCAGATTGGAGCCGTTTTTGAGCAAGAAAATCTAAAGCTTCGGGAAAAGGAATTATTATCTACTACTTTATTTTGTGTTGACCGACAACACAGCATGCACTTAACTCTCCAAGAAGTTGCTTCTTTCTTCGGAAACCATTCCCCTATCTTGTTTTCTTTTTTTGGGGCTATGGGGGCGGCACTTGGGTGATTCAGCAAAATGTCTCTTCGTGACAAATCGCGAGACTCGACGACTCTCTCGTCCAACAGCGAAGATGCCGACAGCTCCTGGACCAGCTTCAAGGGCCCTGAAGAGGTCGTCGAAGAGGTGGCGCCCCAGCGGCCTGAAGAGGAGGTGGTGGTGGCTGAGGAGAACCACATCGGGGACCAACGGGCCGCCCAGGTCGACGACCCCTGGCTGGACGCCGTGGATTGCGCCCTCGACAAGCCTGGGGACAAAGAGGAGCTTTACTTCAGCATGAAGCTGAAGCGCCAACAGGTCTGGAAGGTTGCGTTTTGGCAAAATTCCCAACAGATGTTTATGAAATTTAGTGCCATCTCGTTTGTCAAGTAGCAATTTAGCTTTCACTGTACTTCGGTGCCTGAAACGTGTCTTCGACTTGTGGGTGTACCATCCCATCCCGCCCGTGCGTCGAAAGTGGTCCAGAAGTGGCCACAGATTGTTTCGCAGGAGATGGTGCGTTGTGCTGTCACGTCGCGATTCCGGCGGTTGTTTGAGGGTTCCCGTCGTTCCGCTTTGGTGTCAGTCTCGTCTCGTGTCCGCTTTGGTGTCTGTCGACTGCCTGGCTGCGGAGCGACTTGGCGGCAGAGCAGGAGTCTGCCAGATCCACCTCCACCGCTGTGCCACTGCCAGGATCACAGCAGGCAACATTGTGACACTTCTGTGACATCATCGGGCAGAAATCTGAGAACCTCTTTTGAGGACGCGGTAAACACACCGGTCGGGGACGCGCCTCAGGCACCATAACCATGCTCCCATTGCGGAGCGCAAGTTCGTCTGCTTCCTTGTCAGGGGTTGCAATGACGTCAGAACGCCGAGCTCCGATTAGTTTTGATTAGAAGGATAGTGGGTAAACCTCAAGGCAGCTTGCTTTGAGGTCTACCCATTATCCCTTAATCAGAAACAGTCGGAGCTCGGCGTTCTGATGTCTCCACAATTCCTGCAAAAGAAGCAGACAAACTTGCGCTCTGCATAGACTCTTTCCAAAATTTAGTACTGTCCGGTGGATTAATCAGCAATTTAGATTTTGCCTTACTAATAGTGGTAATGAATATTTGGTGTTAAATCGGGCATTGCTACTTTCGCAGGTCCTCAGCAGACGGGAATGTATTTTTCACTGTGCAGTTCTTTCTCGGTCTCTTTCAAATGTAATGGCGGCAAAGATATGACCGGTCGGGACAAAGTGCCAATTCTTGTCAATTAATCTATAAAATTCCATACATCGAGGGTCTTTGGAGCTGATTGTGTCAACAGATCGGTTGGTTCCGAGTTAAAAACGAATGCTTACGCAGCTCTACTAGTCAATTTATGCGTCATATTGTACCAAAATCTCAAATATATAGACCCTGTATCAACTTCTTCATGCACCATTCACTAGGGGTCTGCCATTGTTACAACGCAGACGTCGTATCTTGGACGGTGATAGCTATCAAAGTGGCCATACTGAATTTGGAAAAGGGTCCATTGGCAAGGTAGCCTTTGAACAGGATGAACCTGTTCTGAGATTGAGTCCATTTGGCAACTTTAAACTCTTCTTCGTCTGTCAAAGATGGAGGGCGTGTGACTGGCGTGCCCTTCATCTCTGCCAGCGAATAGGTTATAGTGGGTGGTCTGATTTATTGAAAACCAGTCTTAAGTAGCCATGATGCTTGCACAAAGCCTGGCTGTAGGACTCAGCATTAATTTTCAGGTACAGGGTGCTTGTTTTTAATTCAGACATATTCTTTTAAAAAGAGGGAGTGACAGTTGGATGGATGCCGTCTTCATTGCGAGTCCATGAGCTCAGCAGACATTAAATGAGCGAGATTTGCCACAATCAGCTGTGATTAACTAAAACTTATTAATTAGTGCTATTAACTTCTTAGAAAATATATTACAGTATGTTGCAATTGTAGTGTTTCGGAGCAATCATTTTAGCCTAAACCATTTAGGTAACTGGCGGAAAACAAGCAGACTTCGAGATATTCATATATGAGGTTTCGCGTTTTCGTCACCTGATTTTGTGAGTTGAGCAGAAAGAGTGTTACAAGTCCCACCCACAGTAATGCATACCAAAGTGATGTAAGGGGTCGTTTCAGGCACGTCGGTTGCATGTCTTTGCAGAGGATGTGCCAAGGACATGCTGTGTCTTTCCTTTCATTGGAAATGCCCTGCATTATAAAGCTTTATTCAAGTTCTGTAAAAAAAAGGCAATGCCTTTGTGCATGGTAAGCTTTTTCCTGCATTTGAGGGAACAGAATATGCCATAAATTGTGGTTAAATTCACTTGTGCAATAGACCCTTTCACAAATTCAGTGCCATCTGGTGGTTCGTAAAGCAGTTTAGGTTTTGCCCTATCAATGGCGGAAATGAACTTGTATCGGCACCGTCACTTTCGCAAGTCGACGGCACGCGAGGAATTGTTCAGTGTGAGTTCTTTCTCGATCACTTTCAGGTCGATGGTGACCAAGAACGTGCATTCAGAACAAAGCTCCAACCCACTGAGATGCCTCGAGAAAATTCTATACACCAAAGTGCTTTAAAGCCGATTGTGTGCCACGACAGATCGACTGAATCTGAGCAATTAGAAATAAACGCTTACGTAGCTCTTGTGTTCCAGCCCTACTTCGCTTCGTACTGACCCCCGAACGTACAGGCCTCGCAATATCCGCTTAGGAGCATCTTCAACGTCTTCCTTTATCAGTCACTAGAAGGCCGCCATTCGTATGGCACAGATGCCGTTCCACAGATGATGATAGTGATCAAAGTGGCCAGACTGAATTTCGGAAAGGGTCTATTACGTTTCAAAGTGGTCTATTTGGTATTGCACGTTAATTTTTTGCGGTCATCACGAATTACTGATTTCTTAATGCAATGATCTAGGCAAATTACAAAATGCAAATGATGTTACTGTACATATATAATTTTTGCACTTAAATATTTTCTAGTCCTCACCTTTCTGAGGAGCATATTTTCATAGCAGCATTCGGTTCTTTGTTTGCATTTCAGGACAAACGACTTCCCTGCCTTCTGTGGCGTTCTGCTTAACATGCGATAAATTGTCAGGCTTGGGACATGACTGCAAGAGGTCGACAGATAAAAAATGGAGCACGAAACACAACCACAAGGTCGAGACTGTGGTCCTGTAGACATGAGCGCAATACGTCTTTTCATCTTGTGTTCATGTTTGCTACACTTTTTTAAATGTATAGCATTTATAGGACCAGCTCTTAGAGTTTTTGTGTTCGCAGATGTCGCCTCGACGATGTCGCGGTGTCATGTGGCACTGTGGTCTGATCCCAAAGGCGCTCAAATGTGTAGCAGTTTGAGTCCTGTGACATCATAGCACTATTTGATGTCGTTTGACACTGTGTGATAACATCATAACATGTGACACAATGTTGTCATGATGTGATGTGTGACAAAGTGATGTCATGTAACACTGTGGCGTCATCTGACACTATGAAATGATATTCTGATGTCACGTCATGTAACAACATGACATCATGCAACACACTGCCCGCTTTACATATTCACAGAGCCGTTGGAATATGCCTTCCAGTGGCCTCCTCACTGTGCCTGAGAAAGGAAGAGTGCTTAAAGTCTATGCACCTAGAACGTCTTTTAAGAATGCCGAAGAGTTGGCCAATTTAAAAAAAATTTGTGACTCTTGAGTGAGATTGACGTTTTCCTTGCAGTATGCAAAGAGTGCACCCTTCCTGTGGAGAATGGCCAAGGTGACCCACCTGTGCGGCATCACGGCACAGAAGAACGGTGAAGTCTCCAGAAAACGAGACCTCGCGTTTGAAGGTTCGTCTCCTTCGTCGCTTGGAAACGGTGTTCACTGCTTGCAGTGAACGCTGGTTCACATACTTGTATTTGAGTATATCGACTGACTTGCAAGCCCTTGTAGCCGTTTACGGCGAGAGAGTACGCTGGTGCCACCTGTTGGGCAGCCTTGGGGCGGTTTGCTAGTGAATGCCGTGGCTAAAATTCCTGCAATAAAAATTTTCTGGTTACATGACCGGCCTCACGGGGGCAAGGTACCTATAAAAAAAAATTCCGTGCCAACCATTTTCTGCTACATCGTCGAGGCCGGCATAGCTTCCGGTGTGCTACAGCTCGGTGTTGCTGCCAGATCACGTGACTTTGTCTTACAGCTCGTTCATGCGTGCTTTTGTGCAAAAGAGACTACGAACAAAGCGACGTGCTTGCGCAAATAGCTTTGGCGCCAAGAAGCCTTGGCTATGCAACTCAAAATAGCCGACGTCGAGACAGGCAAATTCCTGCCGCAAGTCCGTTCCCGTTTTGGTTATTCAAGTTCGCACTTGCACGCAGAAAGAGGGTGAACAGGCTTGAAACGTGAGTGAAATTAACCGCATTTGTATACTTTAAGCGCAGCATGTAAAAGTATTTCTGGAAAAGATTGCAATAAGCAAGCGGAACCGCCGAGCGGAACTGGCTGGAACACTTGGTACTTTCTGCTTTCTGAGCCGGTCATGTGGCACAAAAATCCCTCGTACCCGCTGGGGAAAAATAGCCGCATTCCCTAGCAAACCGCCCCTAGAACACTTTCGACTTGTGTATGACTAGACCAAAGGTCTTGCGGTATTTGCGAGATTGTGCTTACACACTAGCTACGAGAAACGGTCGCTTACAACCAGGGCTCCGTGTTTTCAGTGCATGCCGATGAACCCTGAAAACTAACCCTTGAGACGGTTTTTATAAGAATTGAGGAAAACCGAAAAACGCAGTGGCGGAACCGTCCCTCGATCGGAAAATCCCCGGGTTTAATGGGAAGGAAGTCTTTACTTAGAGTTTTATTTTGTGCTAGTCCAAAGCGGAGCCTCCAAACTAGCTTTGACTGTGGGTCCAAATGCTGATTCCTTCACTAATCGGTACCTGGACATCTTCCAAGTATTCGGGTCACACACGTGCTCCCCGGAGGACATGAAATCCCATTCCCCTGTCTCATTTTTTTCAACGTAAGCCGCAACAGACGCCAACATTTTTTTCGTCTGACACCGAAAATCGACAGAAACATCTGTAAAACAAAACAAAAAAGCAAAAAAAAAAAAAAAAACCACTCGCAAAAAGTGTTACAGATTCAAAAAAAAAAATAAACCCCAAAAACATTGAACCCTACTTATAACATAGCGAGTATTATTCTAAATGCACGGTGAAAGGAAGTGTTCCAGTGCCATCCGATAGATAGTGCCAGTGCATTCTCTCGTTGTGACCGGTCCCGAGCGATTACGATGCGGTTATGAGTTGTAATGCGGTTATGCGTTGATTATGCAAACAATCCCGCATTTGTTACATTGTACAGGGTGTCTTTCTTCTTAGGCTTTGCAAATTTGCGTTAAAAAGCCGTGAAGGCTGCATTAGCGTGGCCTGTGCAGGTGTCTCGTACTGATGAGGGGACATAATATAGGGGATAATCGCTACAATGAGTCAATTAACTAAAATTCATTAACATTTTAATTAGTGGAAATAGACACGCGGTTCCGATTAGGAACTAGCCGAGCGACATCGAAAGCCACTAAATCTGTAAATTTTAGAAAGACTTCGATCCTGTGGGAAGTGCGGTAATGTGTTAGAGTTGACAGTTGTGCAACAGGTGCAAGGCCGGCGGATCGGAAAAGCAGTGATGTGATTGCTGCGCCAATTGCGCCAAACTGCGCCAAGGGGCTAACCCTGCTACATCCTGCTACATTTCGCCAAAATATGGGTCATCTGTGCCAAGCCTGCGCCAAAGGACCAGTTTTGGTCGCCTTTCAAAAGCAAAACTAAACTGAGTACCGTAACTGAGTATGCGTAAGCTAGGTGGCGCAAGCGGCCACCCGACACAAAGTACTCTGCATCAATCGTTACATTGTAACCCTGGAGCCGGGCAAAAGAAGGGACGTATATAGGACAGGCAAAAAACTCCAATCTCAGTATTGAACCAGCTTGCGTGCAGCTTTAGTTACATCAATCGCCCATCTGGTCTCGCATGGTTTTTCCCGCCGTCTCTTCTTTCGCGCTCTGGTCGTCTCGTGAATGTCGTCTCGCATTTTTAAAATTTTTACGATAGATGCGGGCGTGTGCGGACGCTCCGACGCTAACGTGCTGGGTACCAGCCATGCCGTCACACTGAAACGAAATTACGTTTTTGCGCGGCAGGAGTTACTTTTTGAGCTGAAGCCCTCGCTTCTGCAAGCAACGGCCGTGGGAAAACTATATTTGGTCCTGCCTACCAGTCCGCACGTCGCTCCAGATATGGAGCTTCCTAAACTGAAACATAAGGACCGCCGCATGTTCATCAACATTCCTGTTCTTGTTTAAAACATACGCTACTACAAAAAATCCCTCATTAGTTCGAAGACTGCTGTGTCTAAGTATTGATTACATAGGTTTCTCTTGGTTGGCTTTCTTTCGAGAGGGACCCCGGTACATGAAAAATCTGTCGCGCAAGAAAGTTGGTGAAGAGAAGTGAGCTAAAGCAAAGAAGGCAATGTCTGCAGGCTGAACCCGCACAGCGCGCTTGTTTGTCTCGAGTTCAGTCGTTGCACAAAGCGCTCCAAGAACGTTTTGACCCTGACTCGCGATGTCCTGCATCGATACGCTCAGGTTCTTTTTTTTTTTGTATGTTTAGCTTGTACCTTGCCTGCCGGCCTTGCAAGCACGCGCCGCTGAACTATTTTTTGTCGCATGCTGGGCAGTTACATTTTACATACATTTTTGGAGACCAGTTGGCGACGGAGCGGAGTGGCATGGTTTCGGTTTCGATCGAACAGCCGTCTGTGCTCGCGCGACGAAGCATGTGCAGCTGCAAGCCTGCCAAAGTTGCCCTGACGTGCATGCGAACATCATTGCACGACAGAGGCACCAGCCGGGACGCTTGCAATCCACTGTTTTACGTTTACTTTTGACGAAAGTCTGGCACGTCGGGAATCAGTAAAACGGTGGCAAGCGGTTTTTCAAAATTTTTCGGCGACGCCTAAAGCACTATACACTTGTGGGGTGTCTCAATGTTTCTTTGGAGACATTAAAAGTGGACATTCATTACTAGCCTAAGCCAAAGCGAAGCTTGCAGCAGCTTTGCAGAAAGTTTTGAAAAGCAAAAAGTACCCGCTAGTCGTACGGCACCTTTTTCTTGTTTGCAATTTCGCATTGCACTGCAGTAGCTATGTGTTTCATCAGTCGGGGACTGCTTCCATTTATTATATTATATCACTGGTCAACCTAATGCTGCGATATTTACTGCTAAGCTGGTCATTTTCAAATAATTTTTAATATCTGAAGTTTAGTTTTCAAATAAATTTGAATATGTGAAGTTTGGTGCTTATATATCTATTGTGGGTACATATATAGGTATAATTTAACTGAAGCATTGCAAAATCTGTCATGTCATTGACATTTCAGTTGCATCTTGAAAGACTCCTAGGTGGTCGAACTTGACTATAATTCGTTTATTTCAGCGAGCAAAGTGCCCTTCGTTTGTCCAGCACGTAAAACAAATCTTTTTTATTTTTCTAAGAATATCTGCTTCGAAAGCCATTTTTGGTGCTCTGAAACACTGTTTTGGCTGCTCCAAAAGCCACTTTTACTGCTCCAAAACACTGTTTTGGTTGCTCCGAAAGGTGCTCCAAAACGGCTTAGGCCAATCACATCACTGGAAAAGCTAATGATAAGACAGAAAGAGAATGCAGGCGCAATTTCACGCCTCCAGCCTTGCACCTGTTGCATGAATGGTGGCTGGTGAAACAGGCGCATGCAGTACTTACCAGGACTCTCGAAAGCGCGGTGTGTGCAGTGAGAGTGGTTTCATCTTCGCAGCGTTTGCCTACGCGAAAGAGGCGCTGGCAGCAGACGACAAGAACGCGGAGGTCCACAAGTGGTACGCCATCACCATCGGGTCGCTGTCCGAGTTCATCGGGGTGCAGCAGAAGATCCAAAACGGATATGAATTCAAGGTAACGGTCGACATTGTGCAGCCGTATTCCAATCAACTGCATCAGCCAGCTCGCATAGCCACGTGGCGCAAGTGCAGTCTTTGAAAAGGCGGATCCTAACATCAAAGGAATTTGCAGCTTGTATTTTTGATATTGTTTATCTTGTCACAAGTGAGAGAAAACTCGCCACCTTCTTCCATAACACTGCAATTCCGCCGCATAATCAGAAAGTTAATTTTTTCCCGATTTGGAGTTGCATGTGGCAGACATAGAAGCCACGGTGTCACGTCATGGGGAGTACGCAAGTTGTCCTGGTGCCATCTGTTGGAACTCAACGAAACCATTTTCTCTCTTCCGCTACCCTCGTCATCTTTCCTATGGCAAACAGCCTTTTGTCTCAATCGCTCACCACGACCTTCAGTGATGCTAGGCGGGAGCAGTGCTCTATTGTAGCCGAATTTGACCTTGAAAACTCGACAGTTGCGGAGGGGGGGGCTGGGGACCAAAAGATAGAACCAAACGTGGTACTCCCCGTGAGGTCACTGTGCCCCTCTCGCGAAAGACGGTGCGGGTGTAGTTTTCTGTTCTTCATTTTATAGGTGAGAGACCAATTCCTCCAATTAATTAACTAAAGTTTGAAAATTGTTGCACCGCCCCTTTAAACGTCTGTCAGTGTTTTTAAAAAAATTTGCAACGAAGTGCCCGTTTCTTGTAGGAGCACGTGGACATTGCTGCAAAGTTGAAACCGACGGACCCTACGCTGCACCACATGCTGGGACGCTGGAGCTTCGAGGTGAGCTCAGCGTTGTTTGTAAGGCAGTCATGTTTCGGTAATGTGGATTCCTCCTCCCGTTCTCCCTTCAAAGATTGTGTATAGTAATCTCCTTTATTCTTGAAGGAAAAATGTACTACTCATGTTTCCTTGCTAGTTATACAGGGTGTTTATATATAACTGCACCAAATTAAAAAAAAAAAAAAAAAATGTTGCGTTAGGACATTTTTACTTATTTGGATTAGCTTACCTGACCACCAGAAACAAGGTTGCTTGAGCAATTAGGTGGATAATTAATGGAGATATTTGAATTAATGTTTTAATTATTGACGTTAGAGGGCATAGTGCATTTACGAAATTGATGTCCAACCTCCAGGCCGTGTGCTCCCACTGCAAGCTCTAATAGACGTGCAAGCATTTGGGCGCCACCGGCCAAATTATATTGGTTCCGCAGGCTTCCTCAAACCGAAACTGATTTAGAAAAGCGCGACAGTGGTGTCACTATCTTTGCCCTCGCATAGTGTCAGTGACGATGTCGTCTGTGATGCGGGTGCCCCCGCCAACACTATTGCAATATGTTTATCTCTTTTTTTTCTTCTTTTGGTGCAAGTTGTAAATCTTGGTATCTGCTGTCAGCGTGTCTTTCTGTCCTCATCCCGCAGGCAGCACGCTGGGACCCTTGCTTTTTGTCGATACGATAAAAGCTCATGATTCAAGACAACCCTGAGATGGGAAACAAGGACAAACGCGACGAAACATTTTGAGACTTCGTTATGTTTGTCCTTCTTGTTTCCCCTTTCTCAGGGTTGTCTTAAATCATGAACGTAAACCAGCTTGCCTGCACCTTATCACTGATTTCAGTAAAAGCTGTTTTGTGAAACTGTGCAAACAGCGTTAAGGATCGAGAAACGCTGCGTCATCCACAACTTCTCTCGTGGAAGACACAGTGCAGTCGGCGCCGACCGCAGACGCCAAGATTTACGGCCGACGCCAAAAGAATAAAAACAAAAAAAACCAAAGATAAACATTCCACGAAAGTGCCGGAGGAGGTGCCCGCGTCACGGGCGACCTCGTCACCGTGATGCTACGCGGGGACAGAAACAGTGACCTTGCTGTCGCTCTTTTCTAAATTAGTTACGGTTCGAGGAAGCCTGCGGAACTAAAATAATTTGGCTGGTGGCGCCCAAACGCCCGCACGTTTATTAGAGCTTGCAGTTGGAGCACACAGCTTGTAAGTTGACCATCAAATTCGTAAATGCATTATACCTTCTAAAGTTATTAATTAAAAAGTTAATTAAAACATCTTCGTTAATTAGCCACCTAATTGCACAAACAACTTTGTTTCTGGTGGTTGTCAAAACGGGTAAGCTAATCCGAGAAGTAAAAGTGTCCTAATGCAACTCTTGTTTTTTTTGTTTTTTTTTTTAGAAATTTGGCGCAGCTAGAAGAAAACTCAATTCTTTTTTTTTTGCCTTGTGTACATGCTCCCCTCCCGAGGCCTACCAGCTGCCTGGAAATGAATAACGTTTGGTGTAATAAGTCCTTCATTACTTTATAGTAGCTAACTTTTTAATTGGTAAGTTAAAAGGTACTGTCAATGGGAAACTTTTGGGCATCACTGAAGACCTCTAAATTGGCACTCTCTACAAAAACATGAGGCATGCGGAGCACTTTACCACACTCTAAAGACGCACTCGGTTTGGACGTGTTTTAAAGTTTCACTTCTGCGGTCCCGCTCCCCCGTGGCCAAAGTTTGCGGCGTGGTGCGAGGTTGGTTGACGTCTACCGACCCGTCTGCTGCAGGTGGCCACTCTGACTTGGATCGAGAGGAAGCTGGCGTCTACACTCTACAGCATGCCGCCGAGTTCGACGGTGCAAGAAGCACGGGCACACCTCTTTGCGGTATGTCATATCAGTGCTTTGTGCGAGAGCAAAAGGTTAGAACGAAGCTGTTGAGCGTGGAAAAAGAATACCGTGTTCTGTCCCGAGTGAAAATTAGACTCGCCAGTAGATGCCGCTAAATTTAGTGGGAAAATGGACGTCGCATAGCTTTGCAACTTGACATCGTGACCCCATGCTGCATGGCGAGAAAAAGCGAGACCTAGGGACCGGGACAACGCAGTCTGCTTCCATTGGTCGACGGCACGGCGCTGACCAGTCTCTTGGTTACGCTTGGTTCCACCGTGTAGCATGGGGCCCCGGGTCGTGTAACGTGACGCCATGGTGTGTCGATTTCCCCGCTACATTTAGCTGGAGAATTCCTGTTGCACAACGGGGTCACGGTTTTAGGTGACCACATCACATGGTGTCGGATTCGGGGTCTGTAGTCATTGAAAGAGAACAAGGAACAGAGACAGGGCAATTTGTTCTTGACCGCTGATATATGTGTGTGAAAAATCCGATTTCAAACTGTTATTATTTTGATGGGTTGGCACTTACGGGTCTAGGAACTCATAAATGCCTTCGAAATATAGGAGGTCATACCGTAAAATACCGGGGAAGCGCCCACTTTTGGACAAGCGCTCACTATTAACATTTCCAAAACTTTGGAATTCTGATTATAAGTTAAAGGGATACTAAACCGAAATTTGGATTTTGCAAAGTAAGGCTGCAGAAGTGTTGAACCGGACGCTACGAACTTAAAACATCACTCATACATCGATATCTCAAACGGATGGCCATACTTTTGGAAAAGAAGGGTGCGATCAAGCGAGTTCTTTGACGTAACTGTCTTCCGGGAGAATTTGAGAACGAGGAGAAGCGGCCTCGCTTTTCTCCTCCTCGCTTCAGTTCACCAGCTTGACGGGACGTAGCGAGGAGCAGAAGCAATGAGGATCGTGACGTGCCTTGGGGGTCTCGTCGGCCTCGTCGGCCGGGTTCAATCGCGCACTTCTTTCCCGAAAAATATGGCGATCCGTTTGATATATCGCCGCATGAGTAATATTTTTTGGTTTTGCAGCTTTCCACCTATCCACCCGGGCTTGTTTAGTGAGCTCGAAATTTCGGTTCAGTATCCCTTTAAGCACCGACCCCTTCCAAAGCGTTGCAAATATTCAGCTCACTGTAGCAGCTACGAGAACACCAGCGGGGATGATGGGGATATCCGCTTCCTTGCGATGCAAAGGGAAAGACTCCTTGGGCAGGGGAAACCATTAACTTTATTGTTTGGGTCACTTGGGTACAGTGCGAGGTCCCTACAGTGCTGGACGTTAGCAGCCGAGTTGTAGCCATGTCAGGACCAACGGGGGTGAAGATAATGCGGTGTGACAATGAACAGTTCTTGGAAACAAAACCAGTGGTCCCAGGGCTTTTGTGAGACACATCTTAATAAAGTGTGCACACCGCCGCGGTCCCCTCACTTCTTGTGCCCGCTGCCGCCATCTTGGTTTTTGCCGCTTCAAACGGACTAGCGCCCATGTCTAGACCAACCAATTTTTCAGTGGAAGTGAGGTGGGCGCTTTCCCGGTATTTTACTGTAGGTAGCTTAGAGGCACTCCGAGATCTCTTTGGCCCTTGAATCATGTAGGTGATCTGTACCCACCCCTTTTCTCCATTGTAGGCTGACAAGCTCAAGAGTGACTGGAAGGAAAACATGCTGTTCATTGCAAAGGTGATAAACTCTCCTTGTCCCACTTGTCGTTCTATTAGTTTGAGCAGTCTCATCATTGACTTGGTTTGAACAATATTTTCACTGCATTGGTTTGAGCAATCTTGTATCTGCATTGCTTTGAGCCATGACTTGCTTTGAGCCCTTGAGGCTTCTTGTAGTCGGCGCCTACGCTTTGAGCAATCTTGTTGCATTGGTTTGAGCTATCTTTTCATTGCGTTGGTTTGAGCGACCTCGTCATTACATTGGTTTAAAGAATCTTGTCATTATGTTGGATGGCATCAGTCTGAGCATATCCATTGCACGTTTGCAGACGTACATCTGCGAAGGCTGCTACAGTCCGGCCATCTCTTGGATCGATCGTGCAGTTGAATCTCCGTGCCAGGGTGAAGGAGTACGTAGGCCGAGACCACTTTTGCTCTCCAATAGTCTCTCTAAAACCATAGCTGTAGTAAAGCCATCTTACAAAAAAAAAAAAAAAAAGTCTATATTACATTACAACCTTCTGTACACCAGTTCCTCGAGCACCTGTATGTTCAAACTGACACCATGCACACCTTTTCTATGGTACCTTCTATCGCGAATACTTATAGCACTTCGGTAGAACCTCTCAATATTGAAAGACAGTCAGATTCTATTTTAGAGCACAGCTCTTAGGCCGTTTCCGCATATAGTGGCGTCGCCATTGGCCAACGTTGCTATGCTCCGTTTCACCTTACGTCCGAGCGCAGCGGATGTTACGAGCCATTGGAGCGAATCCAAGGCCGTGTGAGTGTCACATGACCTTAGAAAGGGGGCATAGTGACGCGCAGAAAGCACATAACGGGCTATGTCCACAGAACGGGATTGGTTAGGATAGCCCGTAGCATCCGCTGCGTCCGGGCATGAGGTGAAACGAAGTATAAAACACTCAGTGGGAAACTCGCCCTTGAAACCTGGACTGCGGGTTAAAACATGAAAGTTACTTTATATAGCTACTGTTAGAGTCACTGAATGTTCCTAGAGTACCGAAACTCCCAGGCTTAAGGTGCCAAAAGGGCTGCTCAATCTTTTTTTTTTTTACTGTGGTCACCATGAGCTTTTAGAAAGCATGCTTTTCCGTAAAAACAAATGGAGAAAGTTCCTTTTGCATAAAATTCTATTGGAGATTTATAGTACAAGATGACACGAGCACAATGTTTTCATAAATTTTTAGTTTACGAGGTTGTGTGGCACAATTAGGTTTTTATACAGACATGTCTTGCTACTGATTTCAGGTTGCGCGTCCCGACTGGGTGCGTCCTAACTTTGGTGGTCAATCGCGGCGCGTCCGCTTGGGAGATAGGGGGTTGGCAGCCCAACCCCTACTACTATATACGTTTTAGTGCCAAAATGGCCGATCAAACCCAAAATTTAACAGTAACAGTGGACGCTATTGAATGTGATACTCCGGTGCAGCCATGCAGTTCCTGGAGTGGCTGCCACGGGAGAAATGGCGGAGTTGCGATTGCGTTTAGTTTGGTTTTCGAGTACTGGTTGCAGGCTCCTATGGCAGTTTCCCAACTGAGTGTTATGGTAACGTTGCCGTCGGCGTAACCACGCACATTGTATTATGGGATGTCAGAGACCTATACTCCAATTCAATTCTCTGCTAAATTTAGTGCAGAAACTGAATTCGGGCGTAGGTTTGACATCCCATAATGTAACATTGCGCATTCAGTTTTCCCGCTAAATCTAGCGGGGAAACTGAATTTGTGTATAGGTCACGTGACACGGAGCCATGTGACGTTATTTTTTCCGCTGGGAAACTGACGTCATGTGACGTCTCGGACCACGGCTTTACAAAACGTAGCTTCACAAAATCCGGAGCAAGTAGCCAAAGAACATTTCACGTCAAAACAAAAACTGCATGCATTGCATTATGGTGCTCTCACCAAACCCTACTGGTCCTCTCTAAAGTATGCTAAAAATAAATAAAACAAGATATAACTATATATATATTATTCTCTCAAATTCTCTACCACGGTATATAGCAAAATAAAAATACCTGAAGGGCTGTGCTCTAATTTCGCATTACCAAGAGTGTAAACGTCTGTAATATTTTTTTTAAACCTCCGTTACTCCAATATCATTTAAGCACGTACCTGCTTTCTCAAATAAAAAGCAGGAGTCGAAGTGCAGTTTCCTCTTTTCTAGCTTTTTGTCGGGTTTTGGGCAGATGCAAGGCTATATCGAACCTCTTTTCCGTGCCTCTTTTGCTGCTACCAAACCACACAAGTCGAGAAACGGCCCTTTTTTGTGAGCACCATTCGTTCGACTGCATGGGAGGCCCGCTGCCACTGCAAACGAGATACATCTTCTACACACGTTGGGGTGGCACATACAATGCATACAGTCTGGTGCGGGAGATTTCGTCCCGCCTCCAGCGCACAATCGAGCCATCGAAGCGTTATCGGGGCTAGGAAGCTCGCACTAGAGGCGGGATGACCGAAGCTTTCTCCCTTAACGTTCTCGCCCCGTCGGCAACGTACCCTCGCTCTAACGTTTTTCCTGTGTCCCTCTCTGGCAGGATGAAGTGGCGCAGCGGGAACTGCTGACTCTCCAGCAACAGTACCAACGGTACCGGTCGTAGCATCGTCACCCTCTCGCGTAGAGCAAAAGGACGCAATTCGTATTTATTTACGAAACGACGAACGACATACCAAATGCCCCTCCCCCCCCGCGGCGATGTCTGCACGAAGCGCATTCCTCCGTCGAAAAAAGAAAGCACGACGTCACATAGTGGACTGAGCGTGGCCGCCGGTAACGTTTACGCCCGCTCTCGTCTGCAAGGTTTTACGGAACCGAAGTTGTAAACGACGCACGGAGTGTGTAATTTTTACGCAATTTCACGTGCCCCGCCAAACTCCGTTCCTCCTCGAGCGCGCTGTTGTTAATTTCGGCTGCTCTCGATATTTTCCGTAGAGTGTTTGACGAGCATGGCGCGCTTTTCGTCGAGGCAGGGACTCGTGCTTATTGTATTTCTATTATTTGCTCGTTGAAAGTTATGGCGACGCATTGAGGTCCAAGTAATGTGCCGTTCAAAAGGGGACACGGGTGTTTCGCCGTCACACTCCCTTTGGAGCGTGTCGAAACATAGTGTTACATCCCCTCGCGGTGGGCTCGGTGGCAGGTTCCACGCATGCCGGCCGTGTTCGTAGACGTTTTCGACGAGATTTGGTACCTGGTGTTGTTTGAAATGGAAGTTGTGATCCCACTTGGTTGCCGACCGACAGGGTGTCGTGCGCCGAATTGTAAGGTGCTGATCCCTACACCCTCCTTCCCCGTGATGGCAGCCGCTACGAATAGACATATATATATATATATATATATATTAACAAAGGTGGAAAAATATAGAAATAAAAGATACTATTATATGCCAAGTCCAGTTTGATGTGTCTGGTGGTTTTATTGCACGAAACTTGAATGTGCATGGCAAGTGCTTGCAGACGACTTCCGCCATGCCTATGGTGAACCTACGATTATTCATGAATCCCATAGCAATTTGACTATGACCCCGTTCTGGTTTGAAACGGGGAACTAGAGACCCAGACCTCAAAAAGAACAAGATTCATGTTTAGATGTTCCCTCATTGGTATATTTGAGTGAAAACACTGGTATGCACCAAAATCGCACCAGAGGGATCACGAAATGCTGTTTTTCTAAATAGGGTCGATACGTAATCACCTGTGTTCACGATAGGCGAGACGCGCATGCAGTTTTGGTTCCACGCGCTGAAGGGCAGGACACACATACTACAAAAAAATATCCTATGGTTCTCACGGTGCAAGAGAAAGATTGCCAAAAGATGGGTGCGCTGTAGGAACCATCGAGTGTAACCTCGAGCATGACTCTGGCACTTTAAAAAGATATTGAAATTAAATTTGAAATATACCTCTTGCATTTGGAAACAACTTGGACATGATCAACAATATCTGCTAATGACAATTGCACACTTGTATTTCGAACGAACGGCTATATTTTTCATTTTTCATGTACGAAGAGCAGCTGTCAAAGAACGCGACGCATCTTGGGATGCGTCGCGCTCTCCGACTTGGGCGTTTTTGGCGTCGCGTTTTCCTTCACGGGCAAAGCTACAGCGAGGCTAGCGTGGTTATAAGCTTTGCCACTTGGTGGCGTCGACACATTACGACCTGGCCGTTTGAGATGTCCGAGAACAAGTTGGACGACGCGGCAGGCACTAGCAGAGGCGAAGTGCGTCACCTGCACCCGAAAACTATGCCGACCTCTTCCTTTCAGTCTCGTACGCTCTCCCTGTCTTCCTTTCTACACTCGTGACCGATTTTGCGGTAGCTTATAATTCGGACTTGTTCAATATTTCGGACCTGAAGGAGGAACCGTGCCCTACCCGGTAGAAATAGTGCCTATTCATGACCGATGTTTCGGAAAGCTTGAAATCTGAAAGTTACTTTTTGGACAAAATAGTCGCGAGCGATCAGCGGGAAACACGACCGAAAAGCCGCCACTTTAGACTCTATGTTGGCTGCACATGAATTGGCTTGGTTGGGCAGTGCTACTTGAGTACTGCCAACTCCTACCGCTAAGTGACTCTACGCTACAGCTTTTTTTTTTCTCTAGCTGTGCGTCATTATCATCATCATTGTTACGATTTTGCTTTGTTTATTCGCCATTCTGTAGTTGTGGACTTGCACCTCTCATCTCTCCTCGGTGAACCATGTTTTCAAACTACGCTTGCTTGGACATCATGGCCCCGTCTTCTCTTCCGCCACTGCGCGGCTATAAACCAAGAAAAGAAGACAGCGATTCTCAAGCTAATATAAAGGGGCCGAACGCAAGCGAAAGCGTAACCTGAAGCAAGGCACTATTCACTTCTTTTTTAAGCCCGCTTACGGTAGATGTAATAAAGGGAAGTTTTTTTTAATCTGTGGATTTCTCCGACCGCTGTACTATTTGGACGTTTCTTCGGTCCCTGCAAACTCCAAAAGAACGGTCGGCAACTGTATTCCCCAGCCAAAGGAGTTCAAAAGGTGCTGGGGGAGAGGGAATCAGGTTTGACCGAGTTTGACAGTTTAAGCGCACTCTGAGCCCAGTGCTGTACTTCTGCAGAGCGGCACTGCTTTTTGGGGAAGGTTGACGTAACAATATTTTAAGTAGCTTTGCCAACATGCACGAGGTGCAATTTGGTAATCATTTTAAACAAAATAAACAAAGTTTGTGTCTTTTGTGGTGTTGTCGCAACATAGTTGACATTTAGACACTAAAATGGGTGGCGTTTCGGTACCCCTCCAAGGCCGGTTACCACATTTGCAGTTTAGGTGTTACCGAGTGCCCTTTTTGAACCAGAAATAATGACACCCTGCCATTTTATTTAACTTCGAGGACCCATAGGGGCATTCCACCGATGCACCACAATACTAATATTCAACATTGTTATCCAAAATGTCTTATGGCAAAGTGTGCAACCACTGGGAAGTAAAATGACACACATACCATAAAGTGCAGTGACCAAAAGCATTTTTTGGCAAATGAGAAACAAGTGACTCAACAGTGGAGCAAGCTCTGCATACAGCACCAATATGCAAAGAAACTGTTTGGGTGGAAACTAGGGCTGGGCAATCGATTGATTAACGTTCCAATTAATCAATCAATGCTTAATCGCGATCAATTTTTTAGTCGGTTAATCGGTTTTTTTCATTGGTACTGAAAAAGAAGTCAACTGGACGCACACATGGCTCTATCCTGGACGACCTGCCCAAACTAGGGACGACTCATGCCCCCCCCCCCCCCCCCCCCTCCCTTAAAGAAAACGCTGCGTGGCATGCATCCGGTCGTTCTGTCCCGAGCGGTTTTCCATTCCCAGCCAGGTGCTATGAGCAAGGTTCAATTCTCGTGCTCGCGAAGCGTGACTTGTTCGAGGATATACATTACAGTTCTGTTGAGGCCAGACGAACAAGCCGGGCCCACAATTGATCCCCGCACGACCGCGAAACTTCACGTCTTGAGGATCTATTACACATCCTGCCCAGGCAAGACAAACAAGCAGAAAAACAAGCTCGGAAGCAAACAACACCATGGTTACTTATTCCAGTATTTTGCCCGCCCGTAAAAATGGACGAGTTCATGAGTATGAAAGACAATCTCGCTCAAAAGTTTGGGTTTAAAGTAAACTCCAGCGGTGAAGTTTTTAACTTGAAGGAAGTCCACTGCATCATCTGCAAAAAGCCGTTTTTTTACAGTGGAAGCGTAAGTTCGCTTCAGTATCACCTACGAGCGAAGCACCCATGTACGCCGCTGCAGCAAGGACCATCGCCAAAACGCACACAACAATCAACGCCTTCTCATCGAGGCCCCTTTTTCTGAAAAAAGAAGAAAGCATTACCTAAGCCCCGACTTCTTGTCTTCCTGTCGAAGAATGTGGACAAACTTCTTTCCCTTCGGAGCTGGAGCAAAATATTTGAGTCTTTGAATTGTTGAACTATATATATCCTCAATTCTAAGTGTTCTTTGCACCGTGTAACAGAGTAAAATAAGTCTTTAAAGGCAAGACAAGTTGTTGCCATTCTTTTTAATATATTTATAAAAATCAGTGCAATCGATTAATTAATCGATTAAAGGGTGGCGATTAATCGGGTTAAAATTTCTAATCCACGCCCAGTCCTAGTGGAAACGGGCAGAGGTGCTTCAAGGACATTTTACTACACGGCAGTCACAAGTACCATTGTTGCGAGGTGGTGCTTTGTCCAAAATAACCCAAAATATCGGGTGTGACAAAAACAAAACATACAGAGATGAGAATTAAAACTTTGACACACAAAAAACTGAAGTGTCGGGGCGGTACACCGCAAGGTGTACCGCCCCGACACCTTGCGGTACACTGTTACGTCACAGTGCACTGGCGGGAACTTTGAATTGGGCCTCGTATTTCTATTTTTATAAAAAAAAAACTACGCACCTCTATAGGGAAACATTTTTTTTTTGTAATGTCATGACATGCCATTTCAACGCCTAGCATGAAAAAAATTATTTTTTTTCGGCGTGTCGGAGGTTTTTTAAGACGTCGTATCCGGCTGCCACCTGTCAAAACCCCGGCGTCTCTTAAAGGGATATTTCAACGAAATTTGAAATATACCCGTCGGGTTCACAAATAGGTTGAATATGATCCACAATATCCGTAAATGACAATCACACATTTGTATTTTGAGCCTGGTGGCTGTGTTTTTCGTTTAAACGGCCCACTCTGGCAAGCGCTCGGAGAGCAGCCAGCGGAAAGCATGTGACATCTGCCGCAATCATGACGTAGTTTGTCTCGGGACGAGCAAAGCTGCGGCGAGGCTGATGTCAAAAGGATGTCCAAGTCGTTCTAGCCACTGAAGCGACTGCTTTTTTACGAATTTTGATTGACGGGTTTATCTTCTATAGTCTTGTAGAGGGACAATAGCGACTTCTGGGTCACACACAAAAAGATTCTCAGGGAGAGGGGAGTTCCTCCTTCCCCTCTTCTCATGGTGGCCGGAGGCGAGAGTTACCGTCACTACCTGTCAAGGCTTCTAGACGGGCATTATAAATGAGGCGTTAGCAACATCCACGAGGTGCTTTTTGCTAATAGCTTAATTCGTTTTAAAATTCCTTTTCATGCCTTTTTTACCATGAAATTGGTGTGTGTGATGTGATACTGCTCCTTTGAACACATATACACTCCGTGCGACGCGACCGGCGCGCCGCCGCGCGGCCGTTACCGAAGGTAGGCAGCGAGAGTCCCAGCGAAACGAAACCACGCCGCGTACACTGGTACGCATTGAAGTCGGAGCGGTGCGGTTGCGTTGGGTTGACAGCATGAACTGCTGCGTCGTTAAGTGCTCCAATATTTATGCGTCGTATCTTGTGGGGACGAAGTTTCACAGTTTTTCACCTCGCCGATGTTTTGTGGGACAGCGACAACGATGGACCGGTCGCGTAAGACGCGAGAAATTTGGTCTCCGGATCATGTCTGCCACTGTGTCGGCACGGCTGACATATTCTACACTGCCGCTTTGCGCTCTGCGTTTGTTTTCGTACCAGTAAAGCCATCCCACATTCACGGGTATGCAGTGCGAATTTCGTTGAAGGAATGCCCTCCAAGGAAGTTTCGTCCTCCTCGTACGTGTCGATGATATTTCCAGACCAGCATGGCACGTCTGTACTTCATGAAGAAAGATTCGGATGGTACAAAAAGGGACCAATATGAATCTAAGGAAAACTACAATGAAACTTGGAATGAATGGACAATCGATGTTTGAGTATGGAAGTTTATGTGGTGTGCTTTCTTTTTTAATCGGCCTCCTTTTGGATGTGGAAACACTGACACCCCATGTCTTAAATTGTTGACAATTTTTTTTTTCTCGGCTTTAGAGCTACCTATCGCAAAGT